TTGGATGTCTCCAATCTTCGTATGGCACGAGCTGGGTCGTGTTGACTGCTACCCCTGGGGTGGTTTCATCTTCTTCTTTTTGGACGGACACGAGGCGCGTCGATTCGAAGTCTGTAGCCGTTGCTAGCTTGGATAGCGCGTCGGCATGCGCATTTTCCTCCCTTGGTATCTGTGCATACGTTACTGATTCGAATGTTGTGGCCCTCTGCTTAACGCGCTCCATGTAATGCGCCAGTGTGTCTTCCTTTGCGTCGAACGCCCCATTCAGTTGGTTGACCGCCAGGGAGGAGTCGGAAAGTATACGCACCGTTCTTGCCCCGAGGTCGTGAGCGGCCGTCATCCCTGCCAGGATGGCCTCGTATTCCGCGGCGTTGTTTGTCTTCAACGCCCTGAACCTGATTGCGATTTCGTGCATTACGCCGGCAGGTGTGCGCACCACAACCCCTGCTCCGGCGCCATGCTTACTCGCCGCTCCATCGACATAGACTTCCCAAACGCCCTCCGGCGTTGTTTCGAGGGTCACCCCTTCCGCGATGAAGTCCGCTAAGATTTGGGCCTTGATTGCTGGCCTTGGCGCGTATTGAATATCGTACTCCGAGAGCTCCACCGCCCATTTGACCATGCGTCCCGACACTTCCATTGAAGTCAGAATCTTTTTTAGTGGTAGGTTGGTCAGGACGGTGACCTGGTGCGCTTGAAAGTACGGGCGCAGTTTCTGCGAAGCGCTCACTAACGCCAGGGCAGCTTTCTCGATTGAGGAATATCTTGTTTCCGCGCTAACGAGGGTGCGCGAGGTGTAATACACTGGTTGCTCAGTCCTGCCATCCCTCCTAGATATCAGAACCGCGCTCACGGCTCTTGTTGACACGGCGAGATACAAGAAAAGTTTTTCATTAAGCTTGGGAGCGGTCAGTACAGGGGGGGATACAAGATACGCCTTTAGTTCCTGGAAGGCCGCTTCGCATTCTGTGGACCATGCGAAGCGCGTCCCGTTCTTGAGTGTCTGGAAGAAGGGCGCGCATTTGTCAGCGGACCTTGGTATGAACCTCCCCAGTGCCGCTATCTTGCCGTTCAGAGATTGGATTTCCAATGCGTTCCGCGGCGCTCGTAGTTGTTGGACCGCGGTGATTTGCTTCGGGTCGACCTCTATGCCGCGCTTGGTTATCATGAACCCTAGAAATTTCCCCGCCTCTGCTCCAAAGACACATTTGAGTGGATTGAGGCGAAGGCTGTGCTTGCGGAGGGCTTCGAAGGTCTCGCGTAGGTCCTCCAGGTGTGACTCACCCGCCTTGGTTTTGACGATAAGGTCGTCTACATACGCCTCGATGTTCCGGCCGATTTGCTGCGAGAAAACTGCGTCGATCATTCTTTGGTATGTCGCGCCCGCGTTTTTCAACCCGAACGGCATACCCACGAAGCAGAAGTTCCCGAAAGGCGTCATGAAGGCCGTTTTTTCTTCATCTTCCTTGGACATTTGGATTTGGTGATATCCTGAGAACATGTCGAGGAAGGACAACGTCTCGTGGTCGGCGGTCGCGTCGATCAGCTGGTCGATGCGTGGCAGGGGGTAAGGGTCTCCCGGGCATACTTTGTTGATTGTGGTGTAGTCGACGCACATCCGCCAGGCTCCTGACGATTTTTTGACTAAGACCACGTTCGCCAGCCACTTCGGGTACTTCACGGGGCGGATCAATCCGGCTGCTAGCAGGCGCGCGACCTCCTCTTCTATCGCCTTCAGCTTGTCCCCGGTGAACGTCCTCCGCCCTTGTTGCCTTGGTTCGGCGCCGGCTGGAACCGCGAGGCTATGCTGCGCTACCTCCCTGGGCACTCCCGGCATGTCCTCTGTGCACCACGCGAAGAGCTCCTTGTACTCCTTCAGCAGCGTTATGAGTGGTTCGATTGCGTTGCTGCTGACGTGAGTGGAGATGCGTATCTTCCTGGTCGGCTCAGCAGGGTTTAGCGCGACCTCGAAATCGGAATCCATGGATTCCGGGCGGGGCTCTTCTGCTCTTGTGTCGACGATGTTGGTTTGGCGTGCCACAACGCGGTCTTCCCAAGTCGTTCCTCGCGCCTCCCCGACTCCTCCCTGTGTTGGAAACTTGAGCTTCTGGTGACACGTCGACGGGAGGGCCATGAACTTCGCGAGGAAAGGTCGGCCCAAGATGCCATTGTGCGCCGATTCGCAATCGACGATTGTGAACTCTATCTGCTTGGAGACGCGGGGCTCCTGGTCCCCAATAACTACTGGGAGGGTGACCACTCCAATTACCGGGACTCTGGTTCCGGAGAAGCCAACCAAGTTGCCGTGTGCGCGCCTGATTAGGCGCGGATCGATATCCATTTTGTTGATGGTATTCTGGAAGAGGATGTCGGCCGCGCTACCCCCGTCTATCAGGAGACGGTGGGTCTTGCAGGCGGCGATCAGCGCGGTGACGATGAGTGGCTCCTCCGACGGGATTCCTTGTGGGAACTCCGCGTCGCCGAAGCTCAGGTTGAACTTCGGCGGTGCGTCGACGGCCGCGCACTCCTTTGCGCGCTCACGCTTGGTTTTCTTCTTGGGACGATCTCCTTCGACCGTTACCACCCCGATCTCTTTGCGCACTACATATGCGCCTGTGTCATCGTCGTAATCGGTTTGTGGGGGTGGGGGTGGCTGTTGTGGCGCTTCGACTTGCTCCTTTTTCACGTGGGTGAATTCAGTTAGCAACCCTCGTCGTACGAGGCCCTCTATTTCGTACCGTAACTCTCGGCATTCTTCTGTCTTATGCCCCGTTGCTCTGTGGAATTCACAATGCCTGCTCCGGTCGCGCATGTAGGGTTGAGACTTCAGCGGGGCAGGCCAGTTAATCTTGTATCCTTTCTCGCGGAGGACGTGGAACACGTTCTTCACGGAGTCATTGAGGGGCGTGTAGGCATTGGATACGCGCCTGTCTGGCGATCGCCCGCGCTGTCCCTGCTCCGGTGGGGGAGGGGGGTTGCGCTTCGGACCACTGTGCATCTGAAGTAGTTGGTCCCGTGGGATGGGGGTCGGGGGTTGTCGACGCGTCTGTTCCTCTCGCGACATTCTCGCCGGTTCGAAGCGTCTGACGGATCCCGCCCCCAAGGTTTCTTCTAACGTGATTGCTTTCTCGATCTTCATCTCCAACTCCGTTGAGAGCGTGACGGGCCTTTTTGCTAAGGCCCGTTTGAGCTCCATATTGTTGGTCGCCTCCATGAGGTGATGGGCGGCTGTTTCGGGAGTGAGGTCACGAACGGACATTGCTACCCTGGACCATCTGGCGTAGAAAGCCCTCAGGCTTTCTCCGTCTTTTTGCCTGATATCAATCAGGGCCTTGAGGTGGAGGGGGCGTCGCTTCTGGGACGCGAATTTTGTGGTGAACAGAAGTATGAACTCCTCAAACGAGTTGATGATTCCATTGGGGAGGCGGTTGTACCAATCGAGGCATATCCCGGTGAATGTCGAGGGGAAGGTTCTGCATAGCGCGGCGTTGGAGTTGGTTTGGAGTTGCATGCGCAGGCAGAAAGTGCTCACGTGGTCCTCCGGGTCGGTAGTGCCGTTGTATGTCGGGAGGGTTGGTGGCGCTCCGGTTAGGTTCTCTGCCATTATTTGCGCGCTCAACGGCTGGTGTAGGGTCCTTTTGGGCGGGTTGGGTCGGTATTGCGGAGTCAGGTGTTGTTCCAAGAAGCTGAGGTCTGCCCGCCCCGGTGGTTCGACTTCCTGTATCCCGCGCGCGGGAAGTTCCGCTGGCGCGAGTTGTGGCGACAGGATTGTCCCTGAAGTTTCTCCCAAGGCTTGTTGAGGCGCGATCGCTGTCGCGTCCGTCGTTGGCGCGCCTTCCTTGCTCATCATGAGCGCGATTACCTGGCTCATTTGTCTCTGCACGTCGGCTATGACGTTGTTTTGTTTCGTCAACAGCTCCCTCATTTCTTTGGGCGTCAGCTCCGGCTCTTCTTCCTCGATGAGTACCGCGTTGAGGTTGCTGGCTTCTGCGAACGCCCTTGGGTCAGTCATCGCCTTGATCGGCGTTGCTTGGTCAGGTTGTTCAAGATTGCGCTCTGCCATTGGTGGATCTTTTTCAGCGTTTCCTCTCGGCCCCAAGGTGGGCGCCAATTGTTTGAACCTAACTGAGTGTAGGAGTGAGGTTCGAAGGAGAGTTTGGGTCGAGAAGAAACGCGAGAGCCGAGCTAGATCAGTGGAACCAGAATCAGAGAGTTGAGTGAGAAAGAGATTAGAAAGAGAAGTAGTTCCTGTAGAGAGAGAATGGTGAAAAAATGCGATCCCCTCACCCACCGTAGTAAATGCCATATTTATAGGCTTCATGGTGGTGGGTGAGTGGTTGACATAGGGAGAGATACAGTGATGTGACTACTGGGATACAATGATGTGACCACTAGCACACTAAGGCTTTTAGGCCATCCCTCTACCTAGGATGAGTCAGAGATCCACTCATGGCCCTGATGTGACTACCCGCTTGGAAGAGGTGCGCTTCCCTCATCTTCTGGTTCAGCCTACGCTAGTCCTCCCCTAGCGCCTGTCATCTCTTCGCGCCTGGACGTGGTTAGCCATGATGAGGCGGCACACTCGGGGTCCTCGCGCTGCCGTGTTGGGGTCTCATCCAGTTGCGCCCGGTTCCTTGGCGTGGTTAGGCCCGAGTCCTATGCCCAACAGAATCCATAGGCGATGCCATTGATTAGGGTTGAAGCTCTAGCAGACGAGCACAGTTTGCCTTGGCCAGCAAAATTCCCTTTTCCTCACAACTATTACTGGGCCTTCTGGGCGTCCATCCCGTCCCAGTTTTAACGATCTCCGCCAGGCCCAAAACAAAGTCCTCCCGTAATCGGCCCAGCAAAGCCCATATATAAAGTCTCTCTCAAACCAGCAGCTCAACATAACTCCCGAGTGACACGTGGTATCACATGGCTGAACTGTGACGCTCAATTCGAACAAGACAGGTAACCTGAGCCTTCTATCCTACCGTTAAGGATAGAACAGATGACAACCGGAAAACAAGGCGGGCATTTAACAACTTTTTTTCTTCTTCATAAAACTGAACAACAATGGCGGTGGTGTGCTTGTCCGTTGCTGCATCTGCTTCATTGCCGAGAATCAGCTCTACAGACACCAGAACCTCCATCTCCGTTCGCAGAACCATCCGCCTCTTGAAACCGTACCGCCGGAACCAAAGTATTAATCCAACCGGCAGAAGATTGACGAGTCGACGACTCAACGCCGGGTTGTCAGAAGTCGAGCCCGATCTCAGAGAGGAACCAATCGACCAGTGGGGAACTCCTGGAATTGACCCAGTAAGCCAAGCTTTCTCCTTTTTGTTCCAATTTCTTCTTTCACAGATTTGGGTTCAATTGGGTATCTTTCTTACTCTGTTTTTTTTTTTTTTTCTTACTCTGTTTTTCTATTTACTACTACAGGAAGATTTTGAGTACGGAATTTATGATGGGCACCACACTTACTTCGAGGGAGAGGAGGACAACCAAGGTATTTGCATTTATCAGTAGCATTGAGTTTCCCTCTGAATGACTGAACAAGAGTACGAATTGAGCTCCCTCTGTTTAACGAAAATTCGGGCTCTGTTTTTCTGGTTAAGGAACGTTTTGGGGTGCCATTGCTGACGATATCAAAGCCGTGGAACCACCCTCTGGCTTTCAGGGCTTCTTATCGTGGCTATTTCTCCCAGCAATAGCCGCTGGGATGTACCTCAATGTTCCTGTAAGACTCATAATCCAAACGAACACTTCGAAATGTTGCTATGTATTTGCTCTGTTGACAATTTTGGAGTGCACAATATCACATATTGCAGGGTGAATTCCTGTTCGGCGGGGCGGCGATCTTCGCGACGATATTCGTGGTGATAGAGATGGATAAGCCGGACAAGCCACACAACTTCGAGCCACAGATCTACAACATGGAGAGAGGGGCGCGGGACAAGCTGATCAATGACTACAACACCATGAGCATCTGGGAGTTCAACGACAAGTATGGGGAGCTCTGGGATTTCACCATCCAGAGGGATGACATTACCAAGCGAGTCTAGCTTTTTTCTAGGGGGTTCCCTTGTTTTCCTTTACTCTTACAGATGATGTTACCAAGAAGTCACCGCAATATAATGTATAGGAACTTGTTTATATTTTTGGAGTTCAATCTTCCTTTTGTTCCCCCCAAACTAAATTAGACGGTTAATGCTAATGGTTAACCGAAATCGTTACCCCTCCCTGCCGGGTTTGACTTTTGTTAGAAGTCACTAAAAACGGTTAGAAATCGTTGATGCGTGAACGCTGATGGATGAGTCACTCATTCTCCTTCGAGCACGGTAGCTGGCGGGCATTGTAAAGGAAGGCGATAGCCGCTTCATCAAAGCTTATGCAGTAAACCTATGAGGAGGATTTGATCACCCGTGCAGAGTTGGCTGGAATTGTTCAAGGTCTGAAGCTCGTATGAGAATCAAGAGCTAGAAAAGTTCTTCTGCAGACTGATTTTGTCATAGCCAAGTCTCTCATTGAGATTACGGGGTCGTTTGGAAGTTGCGATTGTTAAATAGATGTATTGTTGAGAATGCATGTATAATATTATACATGTATTGTCGAATTTGATGCATTGTAGAATACAACGTTTGGTATGTGTGATTGTGTATGTCGCATAAGCTAAAAGCTGAGACAAAACAATCTCAACTATCTCAACAATCACAACTAAAAGTTGAGATATAACAATCACTCAAAATGAGTGATAGTTTCTGTCACATCACAGAAACAATCCACATATTGTTTCTGCTAAAAAAACAAAAAAACGATGCATTGTAAACAATACATGCATAATGACAATCTCAACAAAACTATCGCAACTTCCAAACGACCCCTACAACACCTGAACATCAACATTATACCTGCGTCGCGAATTTTTTTTTTATGAATAAGTTGTTTTATTCATCAAGAAAGGGGGGCCTAAATGGGAAAATCCTCCCTAACTGGAAAACTCAGTTTACAGACCAAAAGAGACAACAGATCACAATACAATACACAGAGGGGAACAAGCGAAACACTAACTAAACATCATACTTCGCCACCTAAACTGCTAACAAAATCATCAGATATTGCAATAGCTACTTGAGGATAGCCATTTCTTAGCAGCTGCAGCAAACTTCGTATCTTTCCAACGAATTGACCAGCATCCAACAATTCACCTGCCATAACTCTCCGACATCTTTCCCTCCATAGTTCAGCCACCACCATAACCCACAGCAGTCTTCCACGATTAGAGGTAGTAAAATTCAATCGAAATAAAGACACATCCATCTCCAGAGATTCTTCCCAGCTAGCACCTACCATATTTCGTCCACCATACAGAGCTCGCAACACATTTTTTGAATAAGAACAAGCAAAAAAGAGGTGATCTCTAGATTCCTCAGCAGAGGAGCATAATGGACAGGTGCTAGCAACTAAAGGATTCCACCTCTGCACCTTATCTAGCATGGTAATCCTATTCAGAATGACAAGCCAGACAATCATATTGTCGCTAGGAGTCCCAAAGGATTTTCAAACCAACGAATGCCACGAAACCCTCCCATGTTTAACACGAAGGGTATCCCAGACCCTTTTAACAGAGAATTTGGTCATGACAGTATCATCCCAAAACACACCTGTCGAACGAACCCTGAGGTGCTGAGCAGCAAGTGGTCGAATCTTCAACACTTTCCTCCAGGCCCATGAACAAGGAATAGAAGCAGAGATATCCCAGATCGAGGTGTAGTGGAAATTTGACGGTGGCTCAAGCGAGATTGGCAGGGTAGGAATGAGCATGTCTATAGGGAGACCAATGTAGTAACTGATTATGATTATCTTACCTCGTTAGATTACCTGTTCCCGGTAGAAGTTCACATCTTTTAGGCACCTTACAATATCCTTGCTTATTGGTTATATTTTAACCGCCTTGGAGTGCAAACTCCTTATTTAGCTCACGAGTAAAGGTTGCGGCACCCTTAATCGCTCTGCTAGTTAAAAAACCCCATAAAACAGCAAAACTGTAAGACAAGAAATTGCACAACTTTGAAAAATTGTTATCATAAGGTCACTTTGTTTGTCCAACAGGTTAGCTATGGTAATCTAGTCTAACTAGAGGGTTGTTGCATCGACCCTCAAGAAGCCCATTGTTACCTAGTCAATGAATGATTCAAAACAGTTCACTCCACTCATGGCTCCACACCGAAAATGAAAGGCGAGATATCGAGGGATTAAATGACCATCGATGTATCAAATGACCTTCAATATTACATCCACGAGCACATTAGGCTTAGAGTGTTCCACAAGGACATCAAGAGTTGCAACATTATACTCGCTTTTGTCCCTCGAATACATCTGTTTTATATAGAATCGTACCTATGAATACGTTGAAATGATTACTACTCAGTCTTGCTCATTTTTAGCTAGAATTGCTATTCGTCGCCCTAACTCCAATTTCCTTCTTACGTCATCCTATCCAATAGCCGATTTCCGGCCGCCACTCCCATTTCCCCAACCCACCATCGTTCTATTTCCCCACCGCGACGTGTAATGCTCTGCTGAGACGAAGCCACTGGGATAGGAGGAGAATCCGTGGGAAGATCCGCCACCGGAGCCGCCTCCTGCAGACAATGCCCCGCCTCCGATCAAAACAGAGGATCCGCCTGAAATCTGAATCAAACAATTCCACCGCTGGTGCTCCTCCTCCTCCACCGCTAGCTAGAAGAAACAAAAACTGAGGAAGACGACATCGCTATTAACCGCCGACGCCCAATTGGGCTCCGACTGTAGGAGATGATCATATAATGGCTTCATAGGTTACCAGATTCGTACCGCAAGTGAAAGTGACAGCAGCGGGAGCAATCAACGGCCCTCATCCAATTACAAAACAAGGCAAAGGAGCTGACTTCCTCAGAGTAAAGAAAGGCAAAAGCATATCAAGCAAATGCGTAATGCTCTGCCTCTTTAAAAGGGGTAATTTGTAGGTGAAGTTTTGGAGCTTTTCTATATGTATAATCATCATGGATTATTCTGCAAACGATAGCTTTGAATTTCATATGGTGGGCACGTCGGGTTTCAAGACAATATTGTTCTGGCTGGGTGGGTCAACATGAGCGGAAGTTTGGTGACCAAGCTGAAACGATGGATGAATGCAGCACACTCGCGACGATCGTGGTTTGAGCTGAAGGGTCTTGCTTCGCATGGAAAGTTTGAGAGTTCCCGCTGAGCTACCCATAACAGAAGTCGGTGGCCATTGGTGAGACTTCGGAAATGATGAGAGAAAGTAAATGACTGTGTTTGGAAAAATAAAAGTGATTGTCAAATTAAGTCTCATGTGAGGTGGTCGGCTCCGGCAAGGTGTAAGTGTTTAAATGACAAAATATAGACTAAGGATATTATAGTAAATCTAACATAATTAGGGCGATAAATAAGGATTTTTAGAGCGACGAATATCAATCCCTTTTTAAAGGCTAAATTACACGTTTGATCACTCAAATTATATAAATATTTCACGTTTTCCATCATAATTATTTTTCTTTCTAATTCGCCACTAACTTTATAAATCGTTTCACCATTAGCACCGTGTCAAGAACCAGTTGCTCCCAATAACTCGAGTTGTTGGGAGAGGTTCAATCGTGAATCATATACCATTATACCACACACTAACACCGTAACACGCCCCCTCAAACAAAAGCCATCACAAGGGCTTGAAGTTTGCACAGTCTGAATACCATGTGCTTAACAAATGGGGGTCACCGGGAATCGAACACAAGACCTCTCGGTCACTGAAGGCTCTGATACCATGTCAAGAACCAGTTGCTCCCAATAACTCGAGTTGTTGAGAGAGGTTCAATCGTGGATCATATACCAGTATACCACACACTAACACACTGGCCGTTCCACTCCATTAAATTTATCCTACGTGGCAGTCAACTATAAAGTTTGACAGTTAACTAAATGATGTGGAAATTTAAAAAATTTAAAAAAATTGAATATATTATTCCACCTCATCACTGCATTTACTTTATCTATATGATTTATGATATTAATTATTTAATAAAAATAATTAAATTTAAAAAATGAACGGCATCCTCTTTCCCGTCGCTGGTGCACTCGTACCCACCAGATCGGCCCTATTCTCCTCGTCGTCGCCACCTTCTTCCTCGCTCGCCTCTTTCACCAGACGTTCTCTCCCTGCACCGCCACTTCCTTCAGCAGCAGCGACTTCGGCTCCAGGAAGAGCCTCATTCGTATCTCCAACGCCGAATACCTATCATGGCCTAACCGTGGCTACGGTTCAGTTTGCTCAAAGAGACCGAGATTAATGGCTTGAAAGAGCTAATGATGGCAAAATCTACGTCAAAGCTTGCGTTAAAGGCCAATGGCGCACTCAGGTTTGTGTTAATTTTGTTCTTGAATTTCTTCCATGTTCGAATTCATCATCCTGTTAAATGTTTGATTAGAGCTACGGTGAATCGAGTTGATTTTTGTGGATTGGATTGATTTTCTAGGTTGAGATATATAAATTGCTATTGAAATCAGGGTTACAGACTAAGAGGAAAGAGGAAGAAAATCAAAATCCTTCCCCACTCCTCCAATTCGTCTGTCGTGGATTTCGTCAGCCCCATCGAAATCCTTCTCCTCTCATCGAACTTCTTCGCCGACAATCAAAGTGCGGCAGTCCCTCCCGGCGGCGCTGCTGCTGGGTTCTTCGGGTTTTTATCCAGCGAACTCCTTCCCCTCTCCTCCGATTCGTCTGTCGTGGCTTTCGTCAGCGTCATCGAAATCCTTCCCCTTTCGTCCAGCTTCTTCGTCGACAATCGGAGCGCCGCGGCACTTCTGCTGGGTTAATCGGGTTCCCATCCAACGCTCTTCTTTCGAATCCTCAGCTGCTCGTCGAGTCGCCTACTCCCATCGAGCTCCGCCAAGAGCTCCATGTACCTCTCGACGGGGACATATCCCGGTTTGTGGATATTCCCGATCACAGTCGCATTCGGATGATCCTCCTCCTCAACGTAGCTCAAAATTATTTTTTTTAATTTAATGAATTTTATTTTTATTAAATAATTAATATGGTAAATCATATAGATCAAGTAAGTGGAAATAATGAGGTGGAAAAATAATTTTAAATTTTTTAAATTTACATGTCATCAAGTTAACGGTCAAACTTTATAGTTGACTGCCACGTAGGACAAATTTGACGGAGTGTA